ATTTGTCTTGGTTAGTATTTATGTTGTTTTTATGAATTTTGATGTTGTTTTGGTTAATATTGTTGTTGTTTTTATGAATTTTTATGTTGTTTTGGTTAATATTGGTGTTGTTTTTATGAAGTTTGATGTTTTTATGAGTTTTGATGCTATTGGTTATAGTTTTCGAAGTACGATGTCTCAATAATTAAGAGGTTAGGAGTACAATGTTGCACTTGAAAGAAATGATATTAAAGGGTATAATAGTTATTTTATCGTCTAGACAACAATTTAGAGGTTCCAACCAAACAACTTTTCAAAAATTCAGATCTTAAAACTTCAAATCCTCTTGGAATTTCACTCCTCTTAAAAATTCACATCCTATCAAATAACCCCTAATATTACCTAACCCTAGGATTGGATCAATCTGTAATCCTAACAATTTATGATTATAAAACAATTAATATTCAAGTTAATGTAATTGGATTGATCGTGTTAACTACACATAACTCAACAATAGGCTATAAAAATCATAATTTTGAGATGATAGGTACAGTGATCAATCAAACACAAATAATAACCAAAGAATAAATCTGAATTAATGAAATTAATGAAATTAAGGCATAATATTGAGTTTTATCTACTCTAAAGTAAAGTAAAGGGTTTTTAGCCCCTTAGTAAAGTAGACACACAAATAAAATGAAGTAAACGTTGTTAAACATAATTAAACAAAACAAAACGAATGATAAAACATGTTTTGAATCTCAAACTCTTCGAATTTCGCTCTTCAATGATCTCTGGCCTCCAAAAGGTTTCTGAGGGTTCTCTGGTCGTCAGAAATTGAGTAATAATCGTAGAATGTCCTAGAGAATGAAAGAGGTTCGTATTTATTGAGTTTCCAAAATATGTGCCACCGCATCGTGGTGCATGTCTCACCACGTCGTGCTAAGGACTCGTACGCGTACCCTTCAAGTAATCTGAGTTATGGTTTATCCGTATATCATTTGATAAGGGAACTTCACCACGGTGTGGCAATGGTGAGACTATGCAGTGGTGGTCTTCTGTTTGTCAATTTTTCCACTTTGATGCTTGTTTCTAGTTCTCCAGCTTCCCGTATACCATTTTAGCTCATTTTCTCCCGAGCATGTATTCGTTGCTACAAAAAAAAATTATAAACATTATAAGTATCAAATATCTTTATTCAATACTAAAATCGTAGATAAACATAGTAAGATATCACATACAAAATATGATTAAATAGGGCGATATCAACCAATATTTAGACTAGTGGGTTTTGTATGGTGTTATAACACTAAAAAAGTGTTACCTCAAATGTCACGTCACGTTTATCTTATTACACCGTTGTGAGAAAATGATCGCTATGTTATAACAACAAATAATTTACATATCATCATTTATTCATGTTGTTTATTTTTTCAAGTTTTTTAATAATTTAAAAAATCATTATAATTTTATAAAATATACTATTTAAATAAAACATAGTATTTAAATTTAAGATAAAACATTACAATACCAAGAAAAAACAATAAATTTAAAACATAATATCCTCTCGCTCGCATTCTAAGATTTGCGCAAATGTTTTACCTAAATCTTCACCTTGATCACTCATACCATTTATGCATTTTAGGGTGCCAAACATTCCACTATAGTCTTAAGAACCACCAATTCATTCATCATATCTTCTCACCCACGTAGCTCATTCTCCTCATGTGCTTGGCTATGAAGGAAATCCAAGTGCTCACATTGCAAATCACATTTTCTTTTTGTAGTAAGTTGTGTTCCTGAAACTTCACTTCAATTTCCGCCATATGCTTTGTTTTTTTTTCAACTTCCTCCACATATGTTGCAGCGTGCTTCACGTTTTCACGCCCTACCGGTCGTCGTGGAAGGGAGATCTCTTCGATCTCGTCCAAATTATCATCGGTGTCTACGTTGAGGTCGATGTGAGTATGCGTGTCGGAAATGTCGATTGAACTCGAATTTCGAGACCTCTTAGATTAAACCTTCGTTGATGTTAGAGTGTTAGTCTATTTTGGATATCTTCTCAGCATCTCCCATGGTTTATCAAACTCGAACACATGACACATCTCAACTCGATATTACTCTTTTGCATATTTAAACAAATCAAAGTCGTTGCAACTGGTTTGCTTTTCTAAATGAAACTTGTTGTAGATCTCATTGAATTTTGTGCACCTCCTATTTGGCAAGCATCACTTCCTAATAAACACCTTTCTTCATACTATTTCCTTGAGTTTCATTTTCGATGTCCCACACCACGCTACATCTAAAGCATACTTTTCCTCACGTGTCCACCATTGTGAAATTTCTTCATTTTCAGTGACAACCGTTTTACCCTTCCCTTTCCATCTCCCTTTCCCTCTTATACTACTTCCGACTTGCGTTTCGGTAACGATTTTTATCGATGGTCGTGTGGGTGGTGGTTGGATGGTTTATGTTTGGACATTTTGCATCAAAGAAAAGGTACCGAAAAGGTTTTATTGTAAATTAGGATTTTGGCCATAAAGATTTTGTTAAATGTAGGGTGGGGAACAAAATAAGATTAGATGTGAAGTGTGATTGAAATAAGTTCCTTGAAATGGTATTTTTACGGTGAACTTTGAGGTTTTTAATGGGTTTATATAAATTGCATATCTGACGAATCCGACCATCGTGGTTGTGGGTTTGGGTTTTGTAGAGGGATTTTTAGGGTTTGCTCTTTTTTTTTTTATTATTGAATTGTATAAAATATAAAGAGAAAAAAAATGGTGTGGATAAAATACGGTTAAATGTAATTTTTATGGAATTAATCATCCATTTTAACTTGTGTTAAAATACTTTTTTTTTTTTTTTTTATGTTACTAACCCAAATTTTATATTATATAATCATGTATCCGTCGACCAATAACTATAACTTTACTCGATTATCCCTGGTTCGAATCTTTCTATCAAACATTCACACTTCATAATCATATCTTATGGATCCAATTGAGCAATGATCAAGCAACACGGTTTAAAGAAATATAATGAAAGAGAAAGATCCAAAACCATCGTTATCATGAAGAAAAAGCACAACCCATCGCAATCAAGGTCACCCAATTACCCGCTAATCACAGCCCTTCAATTGACTTCACCGGAAAAAATAATCCTCATGATCTCCGACCACCGCAGCCTCATTATGAGCAACAGTCACAGACGCCATTGTCGGCCGACCTAAATTATTATTGCTTTCACTCATTAAACCCGACAGCTGTAGGTACCCCAACTCCCAAACCCTAACCCCACAACTTTCTCTACAACACACATCGCATGTGACTCTTCACTCTTCAATCTCCAATCTTCAATCTTCATCTCCAATCTCGCTTCCTTTAATCTCAATTTCTTCAATCTTCACATAAGCTCTTCCTCCGTCAATGGCGTCTCCGCTTTTTCTCACTCCGATATGCCTGGTGTTGTTCGTTTTACTAGCAGTCACAAGCGCTTCCGGTGTCGACGGCGGATTAAAGCAGCTCCAGCTGAATCTTGTCACCGACACTATGGAGATGCCGTTTTACGATGATGTTAATGAAATCGAAGGGGAAGATGATGGAGGTTTAACGGTTTCTGGTCGTAGATCTCTGCTATGGGGGAATATGAGATACTACATCTCTTATGGTGCGTTGTCGGCGAACAGAGTGCCGTGTCCTCCACGCTCCGGTAGGTCGTACTACACTCATAATTGCTGGAGAGCTAGAGGTCCGGTGCATCCGTACAACAGAGGTTGCTCCACAATCACCCGTTGCCGCCGGTGAAAATCCGCCATTGGAGGGTAACTGGTTATGGTTAAGGTTTGCTTGAATCAATGGTACTTCAATTTGTTAATAAATTAATGCATTCGCATTGACTTTATATGAATTCAGTAATGATTATGGGATTTTTGATTGTTCGATTTGTTGAATGACTCCATTGATTTTCATTGAAGAATGTTTCTGATTCTTTGAATTCTTCGATTGTTGCATTCGCATTGTGTTTATATGAATTCAGTTATGTTTATAATTAATACATGAGGATATAAATTTGTATGAAATCTATTTTGATGAAACATATAAATTCGATGCATAAATAAGTAATGATTTGTTTTAGATTTTCTACATGAAGAAAGAGTATAAATTAACCATTGATTCGTGTAGAATGTTATTTGACTGAATGACTATATTATTATTTGTTAAAATATTATTTATTTCCATGTTAAGTAAATCGAGAAGAATGTTATTTGACTGAATGAGTATATTATTATTTTATTATTAAAATATTATTTATCGACATCTTAAATAAATCAATTCTTTGATTTTTCTTTTTGAAAAAGGATAAAGTTATTTACGTGGTAATATAACCCTAAACACGATAAATCTATTTGTTAATATAATAAGAAAATACATTTGTTAATATAAATATGAAAATACAGATGTTGATTAAAATAAACAAGCTGTTTGTTTTTATTGCAACTAATCATCTATTCTGGAACACCCTATTTTGGAAAGTCATTTCGAATTCCGGACTTATCACATGAGAGTGAGATAATTATATGATTTGTGATTGTAGTAAATTCAAGCCTAAGCATTTAATAATAAATTCTTTAATGATTATTAAAGAGTAAGATAATCAAATATAGTACCAAGAGAGTATCGATAAATTATTATTATAACATAAGGGACTCCGGTGATTTCGGAAAAATTTCAAATCCTTCTCGGGTGGTCTCAAACGCCGGTGAGGTGATCGGAGGCTGTTTCTAATCAATTGTGGAGTTCTACGTCTAGCAATCTTCTTTTCTTTCTCGGATAAGTGTTTCTTCGGGTAATACTATGGGGTCGTCATTCACAAATGGCTAGAAACCGGATGACTCAGGGATCAAAAAATCGGGAATTCAACGATGAAACAATGTCAGGATAAGTGTTTTAAGTAAGGCTATTTCTTCTTTCTATATTACTAATTTTCTAGATTATGTGCTACGAAGTGATTTATGGCGTATGTGTGATCGTATTGGTAAAGTGGTTGATGTGTTTACCTCTAACAAGATATCTCAATTGGGTAAACGATTTGGGTTTATTAGATTTGTGGATGTTTCAGATTCTGAACTTATGATAAGAAATTTACGTGAAATTTGGTTTGGATATTACAAACTTTTTGCTTCATCACCAAGATTTTCGAAACCTCCTAATCCTCATACAAAAGGTGGCAATTCCAGGGGTTAGCTATGCTAGTGTAGCTAAAGGGCTTGGTAACAAATCAATTTCAAAGAATAAGGAAGATAATATTCAAATTTTTGTTGGGGATTTTGTTATAGAAAAAAGAAAACGGGTTTGCCTCATTAAGGGTATGGATTTTCATACATTGCCCAACCTACGTATGCTTTGCTTTGATGAGGGATTTGAGGACTTTGATATCCGATATGTTGAGAGCCCATGGGTTATGATTGAGTTCAAACACAAAGAAGCATGTAAAAAATTTCTAGCAAGTGATGTTATGAACCATTGGATATTAGAGAAAAGATCTTGGGATAGGAACTTTGTGCCTACGGATCATTTGATATGGGTGGATCTTGAAGGTTTGCCTCTACGTGCATGGACTAAATAAGCTTTCAAAAAGATTTTGGCTAAATGGGGAAATATAATCCATCTTGAAGATGATTTAGGAGAGGATGTATATAAAAACCGGATTTGTATTCTATCCTCTTTCCAAGAAATTATATGGAAGTAGTGAGAATTAGTATTGATGGTTAAGTTTTTTTGGTTAGAGTAAAAGAAGCATCCGGGTGGACTTCATCTTTTGTATGGGAAAATAATAAGTTCGGTAGTGAAAAATTAAGTGATCAAGGCAAATTCTTAGAAGATCGAGATGTTAATTCACATGGTGATACGAAAGAAGGTTCATATGATCAATTTAGGATTTATGAAACAGTAGAAAAAATGAAAGAAGATGGCAGAATTGATAAGGAAAAAATTCTGGATGTATATGAAGATGATTCCCTGGTTAATGGTGGTAACAATGTTAATACTCATGAGAAGGGACATTTTTGGAATTCTTTTGAAAAAAAAGTGCTAAAATTTTCTTCTCCTATTTTTGTCTCTAATAAGGTGCGGAATAATTTATTACCTCGAAAACATCATGACAACCCCTCGAAATCTGATAAGCCAACAGAATAGTGCCCGATGGCCACTGTTTAGGTGGCAGCCATTGTTCCGGCAGAGGAGGCATTTTCGGCAGCAGCTCCAGCTCCATCTGCTACCTTGGTCACGGACACGGCCCCAGTCTATCCTCTGGGTTTTTCCAGTTGGAATAATTTAGATGGATTCTCGGAGAATTCTTATAATAAAGGGACTTTTTTGAGTGAGATCCAAAAAAACATTAGATATTGGGAAGGCCATGGGATACAAATTAGAAGGGTGTTATGATCGGGTAAAAGAACTAGTGGAAGGGAAAGGAAATAAATTGGTGTTGAAATGAATTGTCTCTGCATCAACATTCAAGGAGTGGGGTGTAAAGATAAAGGTAGTTGGGTTCGAACTTTATGTCATAGACATAAAGTTAATTTATTGGCTATTCAGGAAACGAAGTTGGAAGTTATTGATGTTTCTATGGCTCGTTCTTTATGGGTAACAATTTGTTTTCTTTTTTGTTTTGTCCTTCTCGTGGGGCTTCGGGTGGCATTCTTCTTATTTGGGATTTGGATTGTATTTCTTTTAAAACATCCCATAATTCCGATTATTTTACTGCTATCGAGGCACTATAGTCTTCTTCAGGGTTGTCGGTCATGTTTACTGTTGTTTATGCTCTGCAAGGGCTGACTCTAAGAGAAATCTTTGGTCTACTCTTCTCCAACTTATTAGTTCTTTCCACAGTAAATGTGTTTTGATGGGTGATTTTGATGAGGTTTGTGATGAATCGGAAAGATTTGGTTTTCTTTTTAATTCTGCTACAGCTAGGAGTTTCAACCATTGATCAGGCGGGTTTATTTAATGTTTCTCTTGGTGGTCCTCAGTATAAATGGAATGATAAGTGAGGTTCAATATTTTGTAAGCTGGATCGGTTTTTAATTACTCATGGTTTTTGGATTCTTTCCCTCATTTATCGAGTATGGTTTTGGAGAAAAACGTTCCAGATCATAAGCCTATTCTATTATCAAAACATAAAGTTGATATGGTCTAATTCTTTTCGATGTTTTTTATTCTTGGTTTAATTTGGATGGGTTTGATGATGTTGTCTGAAATTTTTGGTCTCAAAAATAAGAATTTTTTTAGTGTTTCTCACCCTTGGGTTAAATTTAAGAAGAAACTTCAACTTCTTAAATCTAACATTCCTTTTTGGAACATAACCACTCGAGTTAGAATGGGTTCTAATCGCACAGAGCTCCAAAAAGTTTTAGATTCCATTGACGATATCCTTATGACAGACAGGGGTAATGATAACTTACGGGAGCAACAACTTACAAATTTAAAAAAGATAATGGATTTAGATCATTTTACAAATCTAGAGTTAGCCCAAAAGGATAAAATTTAGTGGGGTGGGTGTTGAAGGTGATGAAAACTTAGGTTTTTTTTTCATGGAGTTATAAACCGTAAGAGAAGATAAATGGCTATAAGTGGTGTTTTAAAGGATGGGGTTTGGATTAATGACCCAATTAGGGTTAAGGATGAGTTTCGTGTTCATTTTCAGTCACTTTTTTCTAAACAGATTGGTCCCCGGCCTCGGACAGATGATTCCCATTTTTCTCACCTTTCGTCTTCTCAAATTCAGTTTCTTCATGCTCTGTTCACCTGCAAGGAAATAAAAAAAGGAAGTATGGGACTCTAAGTCATCTAAAGCTCCAGGTACAAATGGTTTCACGTTTGATTTTATCAAACGGTATTAGGATATTCTTCAAGATGATATTTTTGACTTGGTGTCTCACTTTTACATGCAGTCATCTATTCTTAAGGCGTGTAATGCTTCCTTTTTCACTATGATTCCAAAAGTTAGAGATCTGAAGGTTGTTACAAACTTTAGACCTATTAGTCTGATAGATTGCCAATATAAGATTATTGGCAAACTTCTTACTAATAGGTTGGCGGAGATTATTGGTAGTCCGGTTAGTGTGGAGCGATCTGCTTTTATAAAAGGCAAACGGATTTTAGATGGTCCATTTCTTCTTAATGAAGTTGTTGCTTGGAGTAAAGCGTCTAAAAATCCTCTTTTGATCTTTAAAGTGGATTTTGAGAAATCTTAAGATTATTTGTCTTGGGACTACTTACTGGAGATTATGCAAATTATGGGGTTTGGTTCTTTGTGGTGTAATTGGATTTTGGAGAAGCTATCTTCAGCCACCGTCTCAATACTGGTGAATGGATCTCCTTCTCGGGAATTCCATATATTCAGAGGGCTGAGACTGGTGGATCCCCTGTCCCCTTTTCTTTTTGTTTTGGCCATGGAGGGTTTGCATGTGGCCCTATCTTGGGCTCAGTTGGCCAATACTTACAGGGGAATCAATATTGAAGGACTTGTTATTTCCCATCTTATCTATGCTGATGATGTTGTTCTTATGGCAGAATGGAATCAGGAAAATGCTCTCCAAATTGTTCGAATTCTTAGATGTTTCTTTTTGGCTTTGGGCTTGAAAATTAATCTTCTTAAAATTAATCTCTACAGTGTGGGGGTGACTGCTAACCAAGTCTCTTATTTGGTTAATTGTATGGGATGTTCTCTGGGCTCGCTTCCTTTTATTCATTTGGGTGTTCTGGTTTGTCAAAATATGAACATAATTGTTTCTTGGGGCTCTATTATTGATGCTTTTGAAAAAAAATTGGTTGTTTGGAAGGCTAAAAGTCTTTCTTTTGGGGGGTGCTTGACTTTAGTTAAAGCAGTTTTCGGTTCTATTAGCAGCAACTTGATGTCCGTTTATCCTATTCCAGTAACATTGATAAATCAGTTGGAGAGTTTGAGATCCTACTTTTTTTGGGGAGCTGATTTGGATGAGTATCGTATGCATTGGATTAGATGGGATAAAGTTATATCCCCCACAGGTGTTGGAGGTTTGAATTTCTCCCCTTTTGTAGATGTCTATTTCTGATAACTGTGGTCTTCCTCTTCCTTTTGGAAAAGGCTTTCCTCCTGAAGATGATGTTCCAAGTGTCGATCAAGGTGAAAGATCATTCCCTTCTTTGAGCATTGGTGGAACTGGAAATCATTCTTCTCTTCCTCCACCTCCAGTGATTCTCCCTGGCCCATGTTTTCGTCGACTTGAAAAGTTCAAGGTCACTCAATCCCTATTGGCATTAAAACATAAAGATGGAAACTCTGTATCTGCACATGTTCTAAATATGAAGTTACACCTTGACACACTGGGAATGTTGGATGTCGTCTTCCCCGAGGAAGTTGGCTATTAACTTGGTTCTTCAATCACTTCCCGATTCGTATAGTCAGTTCGTTAAGGACTACTATATGACAGACCACGATGTGACCCTTATCGATTTAATGTATTTGCTAATTGCTGCTGAATCAACAATGATTTGGTGCACTAGTAATGTAAATTTGACTGGAAGATCTACTTCCCAAACTTTTGTTGGATTAGATGTCTAAGCCCATAACTATTATTGGTATGTACTTGACCCGAGAATAGCATGGTCCATTTGGGTTGCATATCATCAGGACAATTTGTTAGGATGGACTTTTGAGAGAAGGTTATTTATGGTTTATTAATATATTGTAAGTTATAATATATTAATATGAAATCATATGTTGTAATTAGTATCGATCAAGAATTAATTTGGAATTAATTTAGTGATCAAAAGAGACTAATTAAATCTATGGGGACTAATTACGATAATTAGTTATATTTATATGTGTTGGGCTTATGACCCATGTTGGACCAAGTTTATGTATGGATACATAAAACGTTGGGCCACATGAACCATGGATCATAAAACCCATGGGTATGGATTATGGGTTATACGCATGACCCTTGAAATCCTACATATAAATAGGTTACTCCATAGCCAAAATCACCACTTCTTTTCTTAGAGAAATATGGAGGTGTTTTGGTGCATGGAATTCTCTCTCAAGAGCCACCTTTGTCCTAGGTGTGTTGTGATTCCATTTGAGGCATTTCATACTATTGGTGCTAAGCTCTTAAGGCCAAATACATCAAGACTTCAAGCCACATAAAAGGTATGTTTCCCTAACTAGTATATTATATGTTTTATGTCAAATGCATGCTAGTTATAGGTTTAATTCCTTGGAAACCATTTGCATGTATAATTAGTGAAAACATAGATCAAGGGTATTTAGGATTGTATGTGCACCATAGGATGTTGTATTATACCAAAACCCAATAGTGGTATCAGAGCCATGGGTTGTTTTCTACTATATTTGATGCAAATGTACTTTTTTAAGTTGATGAAAAAAAAAGAAAAAACCATGAAGTTTGTCAAATTTTATGATAATCACTTGATTTTATGAAAAACTAATTATTTGTAAATTTTGAGTCACTTTACTACAAGAGTTTAATTAGGTCAATTTATTAAAAGATAGAATGATATGATTATTTTATTTGTTTTAAAAGTTTGATCTAAGTGGTTTTAAGGAGTTAAAAATTTTGCATAAAATTTTGGAACTCAAAAGTTTTTTTAAAGTTATGATATTAAGAGTTTTGAAACTTCCATAAGTTATGGATGTGAAATGTCTCATTTATTAACTCTTTAGGTTATGAAGTCCAAGAGTCTTCAAAGGATAATTGTCAAAGTTTCAAGATTTGTATTAGTTTATATGATTATCTAATTTCTTGAAATTTTTTGATGTGAATTATCTTTACTTGTGAGTTTAATCTAGATCATAGAAAAATTATTTGATTATTGTGTTAATTGGAATATTTGATCTTAATGGTTTTTATGAACTCCATAACTTGTCCTCAAGTTATGGAAAGTGAAGAGTTTTTCTTTTTAAAGTGTCATTAAGTCTCATAGGTTATGAAAATAGAAGAGTCTCTATTTTTAATGTCATCATTAAATGATTTAATGTCTTCCATAACTTGTCCTCAAGTTATGGAACTTGATTTTTTCATTAAACCTTAATTAAACTCATAAGTTATGAAAAAGCCAAGAGTTTTGAAAGGTTTCAAAACTTGTCCTCAAGTTTTGGAATTTGTAAAGTTACCCCCCATGTATACTTTGATTCCAAACTAGAACTTAGAATTTTAAAAGTTAAAATTCAACCCTTATACTTTATAATATTATAAGTTAATTATATATATATATATATATATATATATATATATATATATGTATGTATAAGAGTAAAGTCAGTCTTACCGTTAGTAGGCCTCATTCACGAAGTCGGTCTATAAGGGGGGTATAAGGTTACTGCCTATAAAATGGCAGTTTAATGGGTTTCCACTCTCACCCACCGCTTCCTTGAATGGTGG